CTCTGCTGGTGTCCCGCTTCTCCCCCACCCCTCTCCTCACGCCCTGGCGTCTGGCCGCCTGGCTTCAGACACCACGTCTAAGCTGGTGGCTCCTGGTCTCTCTCCCGTGGGGACCTTCCTGAACTTCACACTCATATCCTGTGTCCCCCTGACACCTAACACACCTGCAGAGGAGCTTTTCCCTTCCTGCTCACCTGCCCTCAGCTCCTCCCACATCCCCATCGGAGGCAGGTGGCCCGGCGGCGGCGGCGTGGAAGCTGCGGGAGTCCCCGGGTGACACTGGGCAGGTGCACCGACCCTGCGGGCTGCGTCTTCCCTCCGTGAGCTGGGCCATGACGAGTGCTCTCGCAGGGGGTTACCGTGAGGACGGAATGAATTAACGTGCAAAGTGCTGGGAACAAGGGTTCCCTGTTCCCCTTCTCCAACCAACCACCACCATCCCAGTTCCTTAAGCCAAAAACATAGGGGTCATTCCAGCTTCTGCCACGTGCGAGTGAGGTGTGTGTAAAGAAACAGTGTACACCCTGGCCGGTTTGGTCAGCGGTTAGGGCCTCGGGTTTGACTCCCAGTTAAGACACATACGTGGGTTGCATACATCCTGGCCCCGGTTGGGGTCGTGTGGGAGGCAGCCAATAAATGTTTCTCTCCCTCCCTCCCTCCCTCCCTCCCTCCCTCCCTCCCTCCCTCCCAGTCTATCTAAAAAATAAATGAAAAAAATATCCTCAGGTGAAGATTAACCAAGAAAAGAAACTGCCCGTCCTGCTGACTCAGCTTCCGAAACATGTCCTCAAGTTCATTGGCTTCTCTCCGTCCCTGTGACCACGCCCTGGTCCAAGCCACACGGTCCCTCCTGGGATCTGAGCAGCCTCTCAGGGGCCCCTCGTGCCACTGCCTCCACTGGCCCGTGCGTGGCGACCAGAGTGGGCATTTACTTAGGAGATTTAATTCGCCCCTGTACCTCCCCTTCCTCTTCCTCTTAGCTTTTCATCATGGATATTTCCAGGCACGGGGGGCAGGGGAGAGAGAAGGGTCAGGACGCCCATGAGCCCATCAACCACTTCCAGCAGGAGCAGCGACACGGTGTCTTGTTGCATTTCCCATCACTTTCCTCTCCTGCCAGAGGACTGGAGAGCCGATTCCAGACAGCACATCACTTCATCTCGAAATACCTCGGGGCAACGGAATAATTTTAAAAAAATATTTGTTTTTCTTTATTGATTTTACAGAGAGAGGAAGGGAGAGGGAGATAGAAACATCGATGAGAGAGAACTTCAATTGGCCGCCTCCTGCATGCCCCCCACTGGGGATCGGGCCCACAACCTGGGCATGTGCCCTGACCGGGAATCGAACCAGAGACCTCTTGGTGCAGGATCGACGCTCAACCACTGAGCAACACTATCTGGGCGACCTGTGTTATATCTTTAAAATCTTGTCTGGCTGCCGTGTGGAGGGGAGTTGTGGGGGGTCTTAGGGAGCAGGGAGACAGTGGTCTGAGATCATTGAGAAGATAGCTCTAAGGCACTCAAAGTCTGGTGCGTGGTAAGTGCTCAGAACTATCAGCTATTGTTAGTCCCTGAGCTGGGTGGACAGTCCCTCTCATTTTGAAGTAAAGTAGTAGATACGAAACTGCGGCCGAGTGTGGACATGGCTTGCCCCAAGCGACCGAGCTGGCCGGCTCTGGGACAGAAGCCCAGTGCCTGTGTGTACAGTCACTGCATTCTCCTTGAACTCCTGGCTTCTCTCTGGCTGGAGAGAGTCACAGGCGCAAATGACAGAATTCCATCCAGAACATTCTTACAGCAGGACACCCCTGGTCCAGGTGTACTGAGGGGTGAGTCCTTCCAGTGGGAGTAACCAGGAAGGCTTCCCAGTTCCGGGGGAGCTGGGCTGGAGGGAGTCCCCCAGGGGAAGGTTGGGGGTAGGCACACCCCCAGGAGAGCAGGACCCGCTGGCCAGGCGCAGCACCCTGCTGAGAGAAGGAAGCTGGAGGGAGCCTCAGCCACCAGGTGGAGCCCTTGGACTTTCCTGGAGGAAGTGGAGGTGCGGGGAGGGGAGAGGCCGGCAGTCCCCAGAGGAAACTGGCCAGGCCTGCTGGGGGCGTGGCATGGGCGTGGCATGGGCGTGGCCCCAGAGGAGTCCACGCCCCAGGCTGCCTGTGCTCCTGTTCCAGGGCCAGCTTTGTGGGCAGACTGACACACAGAGCCAGAGCCGAGTGCATCCTGTGCGGCCACCTGCTGGGAGGATGCCCGTGGGCAAGCGGCCTGGCCTTCCCCTGCCTCAGTCTCCTGTGAAGGGCAGAGAGCCCCCTTCGGGGCCAAGTCTGGCTCTCGCTTCCCCTTGGCCTTCCATGTGGACTTGCACCCATGGAAGGGGCCCCACGCCTCCATGTCAGTGCTGCCCTGGGTGCTGAGGCAGCAGGGCTCCTGCCACCTGGGCAACCGGCCCCGGAGAGCGGCTCTGAGCCCCTCTGCTGGGCAGCCTTCCCTGAGCTCCCCCAGAGGGCCAGGTGCGTCCTCTGTGTCCCCCTCTTCCGGGCTCTCTTGTCCTTCTCACATCTCACCCACCACACCGTGTGCTCCTGGGGGGCAGGGCGGGCAGCTTTATCTCTGAAACCTCAGTTGGTGGGCAAACAGTGGGTGCTCAATAAATGCCCGATGAGCTAATGCTGAGCAGGACTTCCCTGCAGCCCAGAAATGGCTACCTGGTCACTGCAGTCTGGTGGCCTCCAAGGCAGGGGGCAGCCCAGGGCTTGGCCCTTGGCCCGAGATTTGGACAGGCCTGCGTGGAGGGCCTCCCCATGGTGTCCAGCTCCTGTGAGCTCTCTGCAGCCCAGCTCTGGTCCTCATGCTCAGCTCGTCCAGAACCTACTGGAAGGGTCTGCCCTGGCCTGGAATGCTGGGCAGAGCAGCTTGGCCTTTACCCCAGGAAGGGCTATTGGCCGGGGAAAACGTGCAGGTTTGCATTTTGAGGGGTCCCTGGCTGCAGGGCGGAGGATGGCTGGGTTTGGGCCGGGTTGGCAGCTGGTGGCGGGGCCCCACGCGAGAATGGCTTGCTCATGGGAATGTTTAGGATGGTCCGCTGGACTCAAGGATGAAGCACAGGTTTCTAGCTCTGATGTGCAGAGATGCACGTGGAGTCCTGGGCCGGGGCCAGGAGACAGGCAGGTCCTGACATTCCACGTCCCCATTCCTTGGATATAGGGCACCAGGCAGAGGCCCCTGATCACAAGCTGAGCCAGGCCTGTGGTGGCCCCTTGCCCAGAAAGGGACAGGACACCGGGTCTGTGCGAATGCCCTCTGAGCCCTGGCTCACGTGGGTTCAGGGCTCTGGTTCCCAGGTGAAACCACCCCCACCCCAGCCAGGGTGCGGTGCCTGCCCTTCATTCCTGTCCCGGAACAATGCTGCAGGCCAGCCTGGAGCTCAGGACCAGGGGTGACAAGGCGGGGGCTGGAACAACCACCTTCCCAGCCGTGGCCAGTGCCAGCCCCCGGGCTCAGCTGTGCAGGTGGGCTCAGGCGTGCGCTGGTGTCGGCTAGGGAGCGTAGGAGGGCCCAGGCGGCTGCAGCCCAGCCACCAGTGCGCGCAGCAGGGCCGAGGCAGGCAGAGGCCTGAGAGGGGAAGGGGCCGCCGGCCTGTGGGCCCACCGTGAGAAAGGACGAGCTGACCGGCGAGGACGGCATCCAAGCTCTGACCTCTCCTCCCTGCCCTGGGTCTGTCTCCATCCTGGGCTCTACCTGCTCTGAAAGGACCTGGGAGTTACCATCCTGGTCTTTACTACGGGCCATTTGAAACCCTTTTCCGGAGGCAGAACTTGAATCAGAGGAGCCTCACCCAGGCCTAGCTCGGGAGACCTCTGTGACGGGGACTAGGGTCAGACAAACTGGTCTCTTCCTCAGGCTCCAGGGTAGAGAAGCAGAAGTGGCTGCCCTTCCCTCACCCCCACGTCCACAACAGGCGCTGTTCTGTCTCCCATTTCAGAGGTGAAGCAGCCACACTCCAGGACATTCCACGCTGCTCCCAGTGGCAGCTGCACACCTGGCCTGGGTCACAGCCTCACCTGCTGCCTGTCCACTCTCTCTGCTTGGGCAGGTGGGCAGGGAAAGGGCCCCTCGTGCGCGATCATTTCAACTGACCAGTGCAGCCCCAGGGGAACCCGCTGCGGGGCGAGCTCGCGCAGGGCCAACTGCAGTTCTGTGTGGATGTTCGACTGCAGGGCAGGCTGGTGCCCTCAGCCCCTCCCAGAGTTAAGGGTCAACTGGAGTCTGAGAGCGGGGCTTAACCCCGACTCTGGCCCTCAGTGGTGAGTTGTCTCCTCTGTGCCTCAGTGGATCTGCCTGTAAAACGGGGATCGTAGGCAACCAACCAATGTGTCTCTCACATCGATGTTTGTCCCTCTCTCCCCTCTCCCTCCCTTCCACTCTCTGAAAATAAATGGAAAAAATATCCTCGGGTGAAGACTAAAAATAAAATAAAATGGGGATTGAAGCTGATCTCGTGGGGTTCAGGGGGACTCAATGAGTTACCTGCATTAAGCAGGGCAGTGGCCAAACACAAGGATACAAGTGTGGCTCTGAGGGCCACTGGCTGTTGGGACAAAGAGCCTGGAACCCAGAGCAAGTGTCCTGCTGAGGGGAGTGGGCCCTGCACTCACTGGGGCCTGGCTCCCGAGGCTCCACGGTGACTGGTCAAGGTGCTAGTAGGACACTTGACACGAACTTGGGCCTCCAGAGGCCAGTGCAGCCTCGGTGCCTGTTTGGTCTGAGCAGGTCCAGGCTGACCTGGCTACACCGTGTGGCCCACGTGTGGCTGACATGCTGGGTGCAGATTTCATGCCCAAATCAAGGTCCAAGGGGTTTGTCACCTAGTGGTCCACAAGGAGGGGGTGAGAGGAAAAGGTGCCGTCTCCACGTGGTGCCGGAGACCCCTTCAGGGTGGAGCTGCTCCCGCTGAGTGCGGGCAGGTCTGGGTGCAAGAGTGAAGCCCAAGGAAGCCGCCGGACACAGCAACCTCCGGGGCCGCTGGTATCTCCCAAAGGCTCCCCCGTGGCGAGGGTGGGCAGGACGGGGCCCACACAAATGGGGAGACACGGTGTGAGTGGGACGCGGTCACTGCTTTAATGCCCGCCAGCATCTGACACACCCGCCCCACCCGCGGCCGAATCACTGCTGCTCCGTCATGATGGGTTACAAAAATAAATATGAGAAAGCAGCAGCTCCTCCGTGACTGTGGCGCTGATCCGACAGCGACCACATGTGTCTAAGCGTCTGCCATCTCCTGACTCGCACCGAAGAATTGGAAGCACTTGGTTTGGTCTCAGAGGGAAAACGGAAGGTGGCCCAGCCCTCCGAGGTCCGCTGGGGCCGAGGGCCAGCCTCCCGCCGCCTCACATCTCCGAGTCGGCGTACATCCCGTTAATTAAGTAGTCCACCTGCGTGTAGTCCTTCTTCTTGTAGCTCTCATAGGCCTGCAGGGCGAACAGAACCAGGACGGCGAAGAAAAGGGCCACCCCGAGCAAGAGCACGGCCAGGAGCGCGCTCCTGTCCACCGGGGACAGCGGGAGGGGCCTGGTGGTGATCACCAGGTACTGGCCTTCGGTGCTGAGCTGGCACGAGTCTGTGGTTGGCAGCTTCGGGTCCCCGGAGCCCCCGGGTGTCGGCCCGGTGGCACCAGCACTGCCTGTGGTCTCAGGCTGCACCTGCTCTGGTGTGGGGGGCGTGCCCGGCCCTGTGGCCCCCCGTGGAGAAGAAACAGGGCTTGGCGGTGTCGTGGGGGACGTGGCCTCCACCCCGGGCGTGGGGCTGGCATGAGGCACCGGAGCTGGCACTGTGCTGGCAGCTGGCCTCTCAGCTTGTGCCTTGGTGGCTGTCGCTGCTGTGGTGGGCGTGGAAGCCACGGAGGAGAGGATGGACCCTGGGATTGTGTTCACTAGGCGTGAGGTGGGCCTACTTACTGTGCCTGCCACCCGCTGGGCAGTCGATGGCTGGGTGGTGGGGCCTGGTGTGAGTGTGCTGAGTGCTTGCGGACCGGTTGTGTGCTCGGCAGGACCCTGCGTGCCCGTGGCGCTGCTGGTACCTGCCCCGGTGGCAGCAGCCACAGTGCTGGTGGCCAGCGTTGTCAGAGGTGCTGCTCTTGCAGACTCGCTGACGCTGGGCGCCTGGGCGTGGGGTTTGTTGAGAGCGGCCGTGGAAGACAGAGTTGGCTGTGTGGACGTCGGGGAGGGCGGCGTGGGCACCGTGGAGGACGGAGTTGGCCGTGTGGACGTCAGGGAGGGCGGCGTGGGCACCGTGGACGACGGAGTTGGCTGTGTGGACGTCGGGGAGGGCGGCGTGGGCACCATGGAGGATGGAGTTGGCCGTGTGGACGTCGGGGAGGGCGGCGTGGGCACCATGGAGGACGGAGTTGGCTGTGTGGACGTCGGGGAGGGCGGCGTGGGCACCGTGGATGACGGAGTTGGCTGTGTGGACGTCGGGGAGGGCGGCGTGGGCACCGTGGACGACGGAGTTGGCCGTGTGGACGTCGGGGAGGGCGGCGTGGGCACCGTGGACGATGGAGTTGGCCGTGTGGACGTCGGGGAGGGCGGCGTGGGCACCATGGAGGACGGAGTTGGCTGTGTGGACGTCGGGGAGGGCGGCGTGGGCACCGTGGATGACGGAGTTGGCTGTGTGGACGTCGGGGAGGGCGGCGTGGGCACCGTGGAGGACGGAGTTGGCTGTGTGGATGTCAGGGAGGGCGGCGTGGACACTGTGGAGGACGGAGTTGGCTGTGTGGACGTCAGGGAGGGCGGCGTGGGCACCGTGGACGACGGAGTTGGCCGTGTGGACGTCGGGGAGGGCAGCGTGGACACCCTGGAGACCGTGAGGTCGGGGGCACCTGCTGCAGCTGGCGAAGCACCCACATCTGTCCTGTGTGCTCTCCCAGCTGTAGGAGGGCTGTGGTTGGCTCCCAAAGTCCCTTTGGCCGGTGGGACAGGAGAGGGTGTTGTCATCCTTCCTGACGTCTGATTGAAGGTGCTCTCAGTTGTTTCCCGGGGTGCACGTTCTGTGACTAAGTTAGCCTGTGTCCAGTGGAGGCCTAAGGACCCTTCAAGTCAGAAAGGGGAGGAAATGGTACAATCACGGGGCTGGCAGCAGCTTGGCGGTGCCCGTCTCCTTGGCCCGGGCGAGCAGGAGTGGTGCATAGCGCCCCCTCACCCTCTCGCCGCCCACATCTGGCCCGCTGCCCCCCGCAGAGGCACCCAGCCCTTGGGATTTAAAACCACTCTGTCCTCTCTGAACACCAAGCCCACAGAAGTTGTGAGGGCTTCGCTCTGATCCAGTTCCAAGAACAGCAGACAGTGAAGTCTCCCACGAGCGGTGCGGTCCCCAGGAAAGCCCTCAGACCCCCTGGTTCACAGAGCAGACAACGCTGCCCAGGTACCCCCGGAGTCTGGCTCTACAGAGGCCTCGCAGCAGGAATTCCCGGAGGTGCGGGCCTGTCGGAGCGGGAGCGCGACCAGGTGTCTGAGGGCTGAGCAGATCGAGGCCCCAGTAAAGACCAGGATTCTAGAAATGAGACTTTGCAGGGCCAAGCAAGTGACCCTCTCAGGGCTCACAGGCCCGGTCCTGTTGGGGGCTCCCCACCCATACTTGGCCTGCGGAGACTTAGCCTGACAACCCTTCCCGGCCCAGCCCCCCAGAGCTCCAGGGCTCCCCACTCGCTGGCCAGGCTTGCAGACACCCCTTGGGATGAGGGTGTTCTGGGGCCGCGTTCTCACTTACCTGGGCCCTGCGATGCCACGCGGCCTGCAGACAAGGATAAGGAGGAGATGCAGGCAAGCACAAGGGCTGGCCACATCTTGTGGGTGAGCCGGGCCAGGCTGGCGTCCCCCAGGCTCCCAGCCGGCTGCCCTCAGGCTGCTAGGGATGCCCAGCTGCTTGGCTGAAGGATCTGTGGTCAGGAGACAAGGCGTCTGGTCAGAAACGCACGGCCTGGCCTGGGCACGAGGTGCAGCACTGAGCCTCTGTGCAGGGCCCTGGCAGGGTCTGGTGTGCCAGCCGAGCCGTGTCACCCAGGCCTGGCGCCCAGGAACGCATAGCATGCCTCGGCCGTGGTGGTCTAGTGATCTGACCAGTGTCTGCACTTGATGGGTTTAAAGCAGTTCCTGACCCAGTTCCATGGTGAGTCTCAACTCGGACAAGTGCCCACTACCCCGCCGCAGTGTTCGGACTTTGAGAGAGCAGTAGAGAGAGGGCCAGGGCATTCCGATCACCAAGACCGGCCGAGGCCTACCCCTCCATTTCTCCCGTGGCCTGCAGGGCACGGATCAGGCCCAGTGTGCCCCTGTGCACACTGCCGGCCGACCGCACCCTCACATGGGAGCTGTCCCTCAGCCAGGCCCACTCAGCCGGCCACCACACAGCCATCTCTCCACCAGTCCACCGTCCGCTTGCTGAGAGCCTGTTCACGGGCCGGGCAGCGCATCTGGGAACGAAGGTGAAAGGCACGCAGTCCCCTCCTCCAGGAAGCCTGCCGTCCTCTCTCTGCCAGGGGGACAGAGGGGCTCCTGCAGGCTGGCGCAGGCGTGGAGCAGGGGTGACTCGGTGTGGGGGGCACAAAGGACATGGCACCCGCCCGTCTTGAAGGGTAAGTTGGAGGCTGGTCCTCTGGATGGCGGTGCCAGGGTGGGGGAGGGCAGAGCGCTTCGGGCGGGGAAGATTTCCTGGGGAAGTGACACCTGAGCCATGTTTCAAGAATGGATGGGACCACCTGCTAGGAGGCAAGTGGGAGAAAGCAGCAGACGACAGCAGCAGGGACAGTTTGGTGACACCGGGATTAGACTAGAGAGGCTGTCCACCAGGTGAGGGGTCAGGACAGGCAGATGCAGGCAGGAGGGGACAAGACCCCAGGAGGCTGTGGGATTCAGTAAGAGGGTGCCTCTGGGCGAGACTGAGGGCAGGCTGCTTGTGAGGGAGACAGTGTGACTGCAGAAACTTCCAGAGATGCCACCATGGCCGAGCCTCACCAGGATGAGGACTGGGGTGCAGGAGTGTCCCCACACTCACCCTGGGTCCCTCCCAAGGGTCAGCAGGCTGGAATTCCTCACTGTGGGGGTGCAACATAGAACCGAGGGGCCAAGTGACCTCAAGTGTTCTGTCACTTCACGTCCTGCTGGTCCTGGGTGCGCCCTGATCCTGTCCTCTGTCCCGGCCAACCTCCTGAGTCCCACCCAGTCACCTGGAGACCCAGGCCTTCCCCAGACAACAGCCTGGCCACACCAGTCATGTTTAGTCCCATGACCAACCACTCAGTTCAAGCACAGGGCAGCCGAACACAGGCCCGCGGGGAGTCTAAGGGCAGGCGACAAGACGGGGGCTCCCAGTGCCCCTCCAAATCAGTCCTGCCTGAAGGTGTCCTAGGCCTTTGGTCTCCCCGGGGCCCTCACCACACAGGTCCTGAGTTCCACAGGGCATCGCGGATGGGAGCCCTGCGGGCACTGGATGAATGTCCCGACCAGCTCCTCCCCCAGTGCGGATGCTGCCGCTGCTCGGCAGGGCCCTGCGGCCAGGCCAGCTCCCGGTGGTCAGAACAGGGTCTGTGCCCGTCAGCCCGCAGTATCAAAATGAATCACTGCCAAGCGTGCCCATGCTGGGCCTGATCCACCTGCCTCCACCCTCACCCCACGGCTGCCCGAAAGATCCTGGTAACCCACAAAACTGACCCTGCCTCCACAGCTCCAACCCCTTGCATTCCTGGATTACCCCAAAGCTCCTGAGCATGGCCAAGCGGCCTTCAGAAGCGGCCCCAGCGGCTCCTCCTGGGCACGTGAAACACCTGTTGTTTCCAGCCCAGAGCCTGGCTTGGCCAGAAGCCCACAAAGCGGCCCCCGCGCAGCACAAAGGGAGGTTTACGAGGTGGCCACACGGTGGCTTTCTGCCGCCTGTGATCAGAGGGGACTGTTGCAGGGTGGCCCCGTGGTGGGGAGAAGCCACTGGAGCACAAACTCTTCCAGAAGCTGGCACATTCCCTGGTGCTTCTGACCCCTTCCCAAGAGTCACTAACTTCAGCTTCACCTTCATCCCGAGGGGCTCCTGCGCTGTCGCAGGGTCGGACGGTTGCTCAGCCCCACAAGCCACAGATTTGCATCTGGCTCCTAGAGAGCACAGGCATTCTTTGTTTCAACAGAAACAAGTGGGGGTGGGTGGGGAGAAGAGAATCAGACATTATCAGGAGGAGGAAGAATCGAAACGAAGGTCTTTGCCACAGGGAACTCACCCCCCCCCCCCATTAGCTGAGGCTCTGCAGCTGGGCTCTTGGTAAATGAATGTATTTAACTGGCTCTCTGACCAGTCACGTCTGCTGAATGCATGGCCCTGCACCAGAGCCTGGAGCTGGGGTCTACTGGGATGGGATGATGTACCCGGGGCTTCCTGCACGCACCCCAGACCTCAGGCCCTCCGACGTCCCCTCACTACACATCTCCAGAGCAGAGTTGGCAAATCTTTCCTGTAAAGAGCTAGATAGCAAACGGTTTAGACTTTGTGGCCCTGCAGCTGAGGAGGATGTGTACACAATGGGCGTGGCTGTGTCCCCATAAAACTTAGTACAGAAACAGGTGCAGGCAGGCTCGCCCACAGGCTGGCGCTGACCAACCCTGCTCCAGCGGTCAACTTCGGAGTTCTTGGACGCAGGGAGAATCCGAGCCCATTGCTGCACAGATGTCCTCCTTCCCGCCTCAGCCTGGAACAGGCTCAGACCGTTTTCTTCCTGGTCCTGGGACAGGTCTCCCGGGGCCCCTTCTGCTCGGGGCACCTCCTTTCCCACATCATGAGGTGCTGGGCACAGAGGAGCTCCCACAAGGACTGTGGTAATGCGACACAGGCCGAGAATCTTCTGTGGTGACTAGCATTTGAGTCACGGAAACGGATGAGGGCCACAGATGACCACCCCCCTGGAGGACCTCAGGAGACAGAAGCTCTGATGTGAGGAGCCACAGACTGGTTGCTGGAAGGCTGGGTCCTGTGGGTGGCCCTGCCTCCCCCGCCATGCTCCCGGAGCCTGCAGAGCCCCCTCGGGGCCCTCTGGGCTCCCTGTCCCCTCACCAAGCAGGTGGCCCCGGGCGTCAGGGCCTCAGACACTCACCAGAGGCAGGTGCTCAGGGCATGCTCCCGGGCAAGGCCATCTTCCTCCTCGGAGAGCTGTGGGCTGGGCACTGTGTGCTGGCCAGGTGGGGTCTGGCTTGGCAGGAGGTGAGGGCAGCTGTGAGGGGCACTCCCAGGGCACGGCATGCTTTGTGGAACGTGTGGGACACAGGCAGATACTCCACTCTGGTAGCTGTCGCACCTAGGGTTTGAAAGAGGAAACGCTCCTTAGGGAAAGCACGGGAGGAGAGGGAGGCACCGAACCAGCAGCATTCAAAGGATCCTCATACTGGGAAGACGACACTATGTATCAAAACTTCCAACGTCATAGCTGCTGCTTTTTTTCAGTCCTCACCCGAGGACATGCTTATTGATTTTAGAAGTGGGGGGGGGGACTTCAATTAGAGAGAGAAATATTGTTCAGCGTTTATTCCCAGGGATCGAACCCAAAATGTAAGCAGGTGCTCTGACAGGGAATCGAACCCACAACCTTTCGATGTGGGGGACGATAGTCCAACCAGCCGAGCCACCCAGCCAGGGCAATATCACAGCTTCTTCTTTTTTTAACTCCTCACCCAAGAACATTTTTCCATATTTTGTTCAGATAGAGTGGGAGGGAGAGAGAGAGAAACATTGACGTGAAAGGGACACATCGAGTGGCTGCCACCCGCACGACCCAACCAGGGCCGGGGACAAACTGCAACCGAGGTATGTGCCCTTAGCGGGAACCGAACCTGGATCTTTCTGGACCACAGGCCAATGCTCTAACCGCTGAGCTAAACCAGCCAGGGCACAGCTTCTGGTGTAGCAATTTCTACTGCCAGAACTTCTTCTAAGGAAACAGTTGGACAGGAGTCCAAGGATGGAGATCTGCAAAGATGTTCATTATTGCGTTATTTATCATGGTAAAAAACAGGGACGATTACGTAAAACATGGTCCCATCTACATAGAAAATACAATGCAGGTGTTAAAAAAATACACAAATTTCTATTTATTGACATGGGAAGCTGCCCAGTGAAAAAGCAGGAAGTGAAAAAGCAGGTTGCCCCGGCCGGTTTGGCTCAGCGGTTAGAGCGTCGGCCTGTGGTCCAGAGAGACCCGGGTTCGGTTCCCACTAAAGGCACGTACCTCGGTTGTCCGGTTGCAGTTTGTCCCTGGCCCCGCCTGGGACTGTGCGGGAGGAAGCCACTCGATGTGTCCCTTTCACGTCGATGTTTCTCTCTCTCCCTCCCACTATATCTGAAAAATATGGAAAGGTGTCCTCGGGTAAGGATAAAAAAAAAAAAAAGAAAAAGCAGGCCACACATGGTATACACACCACAATCCTGTTTTGTTTAAACAGGCCTATGTCAAGGGGTCTGCAAAGATTTATACCAGAATGTTAATAATGGTTATCCTTGGGGAATAGATTTACAGGAGACTGTCATTTTCTACTTTAGATCTTTTTCCTTACAAAAACAAGCAATGTATCACTTTTGGAAAACACTTCTGAAGGTGAAAGAAAACAATGTCTGATTTTCTTTAAGTACTTTGAGCTACTAGGCAGGGGAGGCCCACCTGACAGTTTCACTCACAGATATTAATAATTTAGAGAAACTTACTGGTTTACATGACAGGAGATGCATTTTTCTAGGAGCCAACCTAAATGTTAGAGGAATCAGGAGTACAGCAGTGATACAAAGATGTTAATCAGCCCAGGCTGTTTGGCTCAGCGGTAGAGTGTCGGCCCGTGGACCAATGAGTCCCGGGTTCGATTATGACCAAGGGTACATACCTCGGTTGCAGTTCGTCCCCGGTCCTGGTAGGGGGCGTGCAGGAGGCAGCTAGTTGATGTGTCTCTCTCACATTGATGTTTCTTTCTCTCTCCCTCTCATGTGAGCATGCAGTCACTCACGCGTGTACACAGCTGCACACATACCCATGCACACACAGCTACACATGCAATGCACACTGCCCGTGTATACATATGCAGTCACACCCATGCGTGTATGCGAGCAATCACACACGGTTACATACACAAAGGCGAGTGCACACTTGGAGCATTTCTATAAGGCTGCATCAGGAAACTCCACACGTTTCTCAGTTAACTTCTGCTGGGTATCATCACTGCTACTCACTCAGCCAGTGAGACTGCTGATCACTCCCACAGAACCGAGAATGGGCTGCTGTGCAGAGTCAAGAACAGGCCCTTGTTGTGCTGTGACTTCATCTCTCTGGTATGGTCCTGCCTCCAGTTTCCAACAGTAAAGTCTAAATGTCAAGATTAACTTGTGGGGACCTGTGCTAATCTTGTAAGTTTACTCACAATAGACAACTCACTCACAAGATTTATTTTTTAAATCCTTACCTGAAGATATTTTTTCATTTATCTTCAGATACAGTGAAAGGGGGAGAGAGAGAGACTGATGTGTGAGAGACACATTGATTGGCTGCCTCCTGCACAACCCCAACCAGGGCCAGGGACTGAACCACAATCCAGGTACGTGCCCTTGACCAAAATCGAACCCACGTCTCTTTGGTCCAGGGGCTGATGCTCTAACTGCTAGGGCATAACAAGATTTAAATAACAGTTTCCCCTACAAAGGCTTCAGTGAACCTTAAAAGAGGGTCAGGCCAGTCATTCTCATTATTATCTGGAGACTAGACAGATCAAGATCTCAGACTACAACAAATGGGAAGTAAAGAGACCCCTGGGCAGGATGGAAATAAGCAAGAAAGAATGAAGTTAGTATTACGTGGGAGACCAGGGCAGATGGAAAGACAGATTAGGCTGGTGCTAGGAGTTCCTCTTTTTTAGGGGTCAGCTCCCCACAAGTTCTGCAGAGAAGAGGCAGCACCCGCCATGGGCCAGGCAACACTCCATCAAAAAGGTGGTCCCAGACAGCCCTTGGTGTCAATTTCCTGATCCTGTTCTGGCCCTTGACCTTGTGATGCCTCCCAATACCTCCTGTCTCAGATTTCCTGTGTTCCCAACTTTGGCTTTATTTTAAACTCTTGAATGAAGCAATTTGTTACATGCAGGGTGCTGTGTGCACGTACATGAAATCAGACTGCAAACTGCTTAATTCCTTTTCTGGCTTACACAGGTTCCTAAGATCCAACACAAGTAACCCTCGGGCTTGGCAAGGAACTCCATGCATTACCCCACATTCCATCACTCTGGTACTGTGATACTTATGTATAAGTAGCAATGTGACCCCAGTCCCTATGCTAAGCTGGAGAAACTATACATACCACAAGTAGGAACTGTGAAAGTCAAGACCAACGAGACTATCCTGACACGTCACCTGGCTGAACTTTGGTAGCAGAACCCAAGGAACACAGGCTTGTGGTTTGTGTGTGTAGACATTGTCCTGTGTTCCAAAGGATGTGTGCCTGTGGCAGATGGGAACCTGGAGCGGTGGATATTGTCTTAATTACACTGCTTGCTTCCGGGTTTCTGGAAGTTTTGGTATCACAGTTAAATGCTGATCAAGGGCCTAGTTTTTGTTGGCAATGTGGGTAAATTTGACATTACTTTGCCTGTCAGGCAAGCCTGGCATATAAGCGAAAAAATCTGCATTTTAAATACTTTCCTCACCAATTTTTAATTAAAAAAAATTTTTTTAATCCTCATCCTAGGATATTTTTTTATTTATCTTTAGATAAAGTGGGAAGGAGAGACAAGAAGGGAGGGCAGGAGGGAGGGAGGGAGAGAGACAGAGAGAAACATCGTGTGAAAGAGACACATCGAATGGCTGCCTCCCACATGACCCGACCAGGGCCGGGACGAACCACAACAGAGATACCTGCCCTTGACCAGAATCGAACCCGAGACGCATTGGTCCGAGGGCCGATGCTCTAACTGCTGAGTCAAACCAGCCAGGGCTTCCTCACCAATTTTATTAAAATTTTAGAGATGCTTCCTTTGGGAGGAAAACAAAACACTATAGGCAGAATTTTAAGTACCACATTTATGTTTCATGGCAAACTTTGTGATGTTGACTCCTCATATTAGCCTAACAGTTAAATGCACACGCTAAGCAGCCATCCAGACTCAACATGGGGGAGGTAGGCAAGTAGATGGAAAAGCACCCCGCACGCTGACCAGTTTGGCTCAGCAGTTAGAGTATTGGCCCTTGGACCAATGAGTTGTGGGTTCGATTCCAGGCAAGGGCACAACCTCGGTTGTGGATCATCCCCGGCCCTGGTTGGGGTCATGTGGGAGGCAGCCAGTCGATGTGTCTTCCTCACATCGATGTCTCTCTCTCCCTCTCCCTCCCTTCCACTCTATCTGAAGATGAATGGAAAAAATATCCTCAGGAAAGGATTTAAAGAAAAAAAAAAAAAAGGAAAAGCACCCCTCCCAGCTAGAAAGGGCCTGAGGGAGGTCTGGGTTACCTAACGGGCCACCAGTTTCTGTGAGGTAACACTTCCTGGGGCCCAGCCTTGTCCCTGTAGGACCTTTTAGTTCCGGCCCAGTCGGGAGTGTCCCAGCCTTCTCGTCCTCTGCTCCCAAACTGGAACAACCCGGCCTCTTCTCTGGTTTGGGATCCCCTGCCTCCTGCCTCTCCGGCCCCCACCCATGCTCCTTTGGCGTCTGGGCCCCAAACCGACTCCTGTTTCCTCCCCTCCTCCTATTCCTTGCCAGTGTGGTGGAAAGGGGGGCCACATACTAAACCCAACAAGCTCAGGGGAGGCCAGCATGGCAGCCTTACAAACTCAGAGACCGAAAGTAACCCCATAGGATGGTCTGAACACAAAAATTCCGAACTAAAAGCAGGTCATGGCCGTAGTGGTATCCTAGCTTGTAGCTTCCTTGACAAATTACTTTAAGTGAGCCTATTGTCCGGTTACATCCAAGATAACACACCTTCAGAACGTCAGAGTAATTTCCGCTTCCAGACCACCAGGGCACACCCACTGCACCAGAAAAAACCCCTCACTGTCCCTTGTCCCTCAAGTACGGTCTATGTGCTGTAGATGGTAATTCCCTATCCTGTGCCCACCAGTGTAAAAGCATGTGTCTGTCCGACTGACTTTTCATTCAACCCCAGAGATCTCTCCCTGTTTGCTTTCTCCCACCCCCTTCACCTATCACCAATGAATTTCATTAAGCCTCTTTGAATCTCCTCCTGTAAGCTGCCAAACTGCCATTCTCCAGGGCATTTTCTCAACTTCTTGAGACTGTGCTTCCCAGCCACTGTCATCAGTTTGACTCCAACTCTCAGAATTCTTTATAGGTGTGGACGTTTCTAAGCGGACACCTCCAAGCCTCATCGTCTGTGCCCCCATTCACGTTTTCTCCTCTCCGCCTCCCCTGCCTCTCGTGCCCCCCATTCATTCTCCTGCCCCCACCTCCCTCTCCCAGCCCCAAGCCCCTTGGACCGCCGTGACTACAGCACCCCGGGCGGCAGCGCAGGCCCCTTACCCGGGCGCGGCAGGCCTGCGGCGGCCGGACGGCCCTCGGACGTTGTAAGGCGCCCGCGGTCCGGCGTGGGGACGTGGCCGGCAGCGGAGCACAGCAAGCCCGAGCCCGAGTGCTCAGGGCAGCCGCCCCAGGTCTGCCCCTCCCGGCCGCCAGGAAGTGACGTCACCGGGGGCGTGCCGGGGCGTGGCAGCTCCGCAGGCGCCCAGATCGCTGGGGCGGGTTCAGAGGGCGTGGCTTTCCTAGACCCCACCCACCGCGAGGCCGTCCAGCTACGTCTCCCACGCGGCCGGAAGTGGCTATTCCGGACTGGTTTGGGGCGGAAGTGGTCGTTGTTGTAATCCAGGAGAATCAACCTGACTCGGACACAAAGTAATTTTGAATATTAAGAGCTTTATTACCTGCGCAGGGACTGCAGCCAATTTACACAGAGGACAACTGCAGCCCCGAGCTCAGGGGGAGGGTTGCTTATATAGGACAGGGGTCACTCAAGAGTTTAGCAGAGCAAGCAAGCTACGTGTACAGAAGCAGATATCAGCAGTTAGTAGCTGTACAAGTTGTTTATTTTATATTTCTTAACATTTATTAGACCCTAGCCTTGAATGTCTCATTGCCCCGTCTGGCATCTCCTGATTAGTTAAGCTCATGGTCAATACCCTTGTGGTCATGGCTGATGCATACCTTCCTCTTCAAGAATTTTTGCAAAAACAACTCGGGTTCAAGGAACCCAGGAGAGGTTCCTTCTTCTAGCAGATGGAGAATTACTGGGTTATAACAGTCGTTGCCAGGTGTGAGCTTCCTTGGATGTGGGCATCTCCCTGCAACGACCAGAATGCCAGGCCTGGGGCAGGATCAGCTCAGGTGTACCCAGTAGTTCACAGAGGGCCGAGCAGAACCAGCACCCTTGTCCCCTTTTAATCCCCACACGAAAATACCAAGTATCTGTGAAGATCTAGAGCAACATGAACTGTCATGCATTTATAGTGGGAATGCAAAGTATTACAGCTACTTTGGAAAAAGTTTCACTTCTTAAAAGTTAAACATATTGCCAGGCTAGTGTGGCTCAGTGGTTGAACGTTGACACGTGCACCAAGAGGTCACCGGTTCGATTCTCGGTCAGGGCACAGGCCCAGGTTGTGGGCCAAACCCCCAGTAGGGGACATGCAGAAGGCAGCCAATCGATATTCTCTCTCATTGATGCTTCTAGCTCTCTCTCCCTCTCCCTTCTTCTCTCTCTAAAATAAAGGGAAAAAATTATATAAAAAAACACACCAAGTTAAACATACCCAGCAATCCCACTCCTAGATGTTTACCTAAGGAAAATGCAAGCATGTCCACACAAAGATCTGTATGAAAATGTCTATGGTAACTTTTTTCATAATTACCAAACCCTGGAAACATCCCAATGATAATCAATGGGTGAATGGATATATAAATTGTGATACATCTATACAATGGTCTACTACTCAGCCATGAAAAAGCACAGAATACTGATACATTCACCCATACTCAAGAATCTCAAAAAGCATTATGCTAAGAGAAAGAGACCAGACATAAGAGATGATGTACAGTATGATTCCATTTATATGACATTCATGAAAAGACAAAAGTATAGACAGAAATCAATGGTCACCAGGGGATGCAGGTGAAGGAAGAGGGATTGGTTTAGACTTACCAGACAAAATTCAGGCTTGTTGTGGGGCGAGAGAACCGAGAGACCACAAGAGCCAAATTGAAACCAAATAGAGCCCTGGCCAGTTTGGCTCAGCGGTTAGAGGTCGGCCTGTGGTCCAGAGAGACCCGGGTTCAGTGCCCGCTGGGGGCACGTACCTCGGTTGCGGTTTGTCCCCAGCCCTGGTTGGATTGTGCGGGTGGCAGCCACTCGATGTGTTCCTTTCACGTCGATGTTTTTCTCTCTCATTCTTTCTCTCTCTCCCTCCCACTCTGTCTGAACAACAACAACAAAAATGAAATATGTCCTCGGGTGAGGATAAAAATAACCAAAAAAACACACAATAAAAAGCAAATAGCAAAGCCAGCCAGCAACTGATCCAGAGTTCTTGGAGATCAGCCCAGACTTTGAGCTACATTTTTATTTTATAGGGGGCCTGTTACAAATTTCTGCAACTGGCATTTCTTTTCTTTTTTACCCTCACCTGAGGACATTTTTGCATTTATCTTCAGATAAAGCAGGAAGGAGAGAGGGAGGAAGAGAGAGAGAGAGAAACATCAATGTGAGAGAGACACATGGACTGCTTGCCACCCGCATAACCCCTATTGGGGTCGAGGACAAACTGCAACCTTAGTGGGAACCGAACCTGGGACTCCCTGGTCCGTGGGCTGATGCTCTAACTGCTGAGCCAAACTGACCAAGGCTGCAACTGGCATTTCTTGATGGCCTTAGGCGAGAGCAAGCAAGTACAGAAGCAGAGGCAGTTGTCGATAAGCAGGAGGGAGAGAAGGTGGGAGGGAGCTGAGATAGGAGGGAGCTGCGTCAGCACACCTCTATGGTCAGGGCAGCGCACATCTATTTTCTAAGTTCTAAACAATAACAAATTCACTCAGAGGAGTACAGGCCAGCTGGTACCTTTAGTTTGCCTCTGAAAGCTCCATAGTCGGCCTTTTGTATGATTTAATCGGGGCGAGGTGATCCAAGAAGGCCAGCACATTCCCCACTGGTTTTCAGGGGAATCAAATCATTGTTTCCTCTACTGATTTTTGAATTCTTTGGTAATGGGTGCTTAGGATCATAAGTTTAACTGTCTGGATTCTTTCTCTGATATATTTAGTTAAACAGTTAATAATTATGGGGCCAAAAAGTAACCCTAAGAGTAACAATAGAAGAGGTCCTGCTATTGCTGATAAGAGGGTTGTCAACCATGGAGAGCAATTATATAGACCCTCGAACTAGTTGCTCCCTGATTTTCTTAATTCTTCTCTATCTTTAATTCTCTGTCTAACTAAAGTAAAACTGTCTTTTATTATTCCAGAGTGGTTAGCATAGAAACAGCAGGGCTCACCTTGAGTCTAGACCTCCTTGTTTTAAGGAGATCAAGTCCCTGTCTCTTCTGTAATGCTACTTCAGCTAGGGAATTTAGGGACTTTTCTAAATGGGAGATAGAGTTTTCCAGGTCTGAGAGGTCTTGATCTATTTGCTTATTAAGTGTCTTAAAATCCTGTTCTCCTGTGACTAGTGCAGTCGTACCGACGGCTGCAGAGCCTGCTGTTCCTAAGCTCGCTGAGAGTGGAACTAATATGGGTGTCGCCCGTTTTCCCTTCCAGCTGAGATTCCAAGATGTCCGTGCTCGACTTCACCGGAGTAAATTCTGTGGGATTATAGAAGTTAGAATACATAGTCCCAAATAATCATCATGTGAGTTAATACAGGGAATCAGTCCGGTAGTGCAGGCGGACCAAGTCTCTTCTGGGGCTACAAGTAATCTGGGACCTTCGTCTTCTTGGAGGTCCTCTGGCATAAACACTGTTAGTAGATAAAATTTCTGGTAAGGTGATTTGTCCAAATTTCTGGTATCTGGTCGGGGTGTGCCTTCTTTATCTGGGAGTGATGAATCCAGAAACGGCGAACTGTAACCTTAAGGGCCATCGAAGTGGTGAGGATGACAGGCAGGGGACCAGTCCATCTTTGTTCCAGCAAAGCAGGCTGAGTTTTCTTGATCCAGATCCAATCTCTGGGCTGAACACTGTGGAGATCTGAGTCACTTGGAAGAGAAGGGCTTAGGGAGAGAATCTCTTATCATCTGGTGGTTTTTCTGCTGGATGAGTTGCAGAGCCTGTAAGGACTGAAGAAGATGATGGTTATTTAGTTCAGCTAGGGTTTCTTCTCCCAATCTGGGGAGAAGCGGTGGTGTTCTCCCGTACATTATTTCATAGGGAGACAGACCCTTAATATAGGGAGGACATCGAACTTGCAATAGGGCAAAAGGAAGGACGCTGACCCAATTTTTGCCTGTCTCTAATTTTAATTGAGTATTAGTCTCCTTTAGTGTTTGATTTATCCTTTCTACCTGTCCTGAACTCTGAGGCCTGTTTGCACAGTGTAATTTCCAAGTAATTTTAAAAATTATAGCTAAGGCTTGTGTGATCTGGGCAATGAATGCCGGGCCATTGTCGGACCCCATGGCTAAAGGGAGGCCAAATCGGGGGACCCTTTCTGATATTAGTTTCCTAGCTACTGTCTGAGCTGTCTCAGATTTAGTCGGGAAGGCTCCTGTGCAACCTGAAAAAGTGTCAATAAAAACGAGGAGGTATTTGTAACCAAACTTTCCTGGAATTATTTCAGTAAAGTCTATTTCCCAATGTTCCCTTGGGTTCTGCTCACGCAGTCGAATCCCCGATTGAGCATTTCCTTGTTGTTTTGTATTTATTTGAGCACAAGTAGGAAGGTGGCCGGCAGTTTGCTTGGCGTAATGGTGAAGTCTTGGAATGTAATAATCTTGATGAAGAAGTTCAATAAGTTTAGTTCCCCCTAGGTGGGTACTCTGGTGAGTCTTAAAAATAAGATCTCATCCTAGTGCCTCAGGTAACAGAACTCTCCGACCAGGGAGTGTGTACCAACCAGAAGAGTTTACATTCCCTCTTAGCTTAGTTCGGAGTTCTCTTTCCTCTTCTGTATAAGAGGAAACCTTAGGGAGATTTCGTGGAGGTAGCACAGGTGAAATCTGGAGAGGCCCCACTGGTTTTTGGGCAGCCTCTCTTGCAGTCCAATCTGCAGAAGCATTTCCCTGGGCCATCGGGTCATCGGTTGTCTGATGTCCTTTACAGTGACTGTTGGCAACCTTTTGAGGTAGCCAGATGGCCTCTAACAGGGGTAGGGTTTCAGCTTTGTTTTTAATTTATTTTCCCTCTGAGGTGAGGAGTCCCTGCTCCTGCTAGAGGGCCCCAAGTACATGAGCAGTAGCAAATGCTTATCTACTGTCAATGTAAATGTTTATAGTCTTTTCCTTTCCCAACGTAAGGCTTATATTAAGGCTATAAGTTCAGCCCTCTGTGCAGAAGTCCCATGTCCCAATGCCTGTGCCCAGAGTACCTTATCTTGTGTTAC